AATGGTGTTTTTATTATTATTCCTCTACAGTGGGTATCTTTTGGTAGCAAAGCCATGAGTTTTTTTCTCTTTCTACTTTTCTTTAGTTTCAAAATTGTCTTTAATTATTATGCTAGCTGTAGTCAACGGTTTACGTATTCCAGTCTGGCATAAATGATGTGTGTCGGTATTTGGGGGTCTAATGAGTTACTCAGGCCCAAGAAGAGGGAATGCAGGGCCTGGTTCTTCCAGTTAGAGTGTCAGCCCTTCACGAAGTTTGTGTGTGTCAGCACACGGAATCATGGAATCATGGGATAAGAAAAAGAGACGAGACTCCAACAAAAGGAGGCCAGGACACACAAAATAGGTTAAAAGGATGACTCACGTATAAAGCCATTCAACATGATTAAGTGCTTCTTAGGAGGCCAAACCTAGCAGTGGTCTTAGGTGAGGGTTTATCAGAGCTCAGTTCACGGCCCCCAGCACCCACCCCCTCAGCACCCCCATATCCCCAGGGGAATCACCTGGGTGCTCGTCTGAAAGGCGAATGATGGCTCCCTCCCCAGGGCCACTGAATCAGAATGCCTGGGGTGGCCGCTGCAAATCCACATTTTAAGCAACTTCATGTCACTATGATTCACACAAAAGTTTAAGAGGCCTCACTTAGTTGAATTTGTTTTTAAAATACTTGAAATGCTCTAAAGTAGGCCAAATAAACAGACTTTAAAATTATGACAAGAGCTCTGGAAGAGGTCTTATAAAGTTGATAAACATGTATTTTAGATGATGTATTCATTGGACGAGTCAGCTTCTAAATGAAACAGTCTGAGCTTGGTTGGGTAGCCTGCTCTCGCCACCCCGCCCCACTCTCCCTCACCCCTCGTCTCCCGGCCCAGGGGCTCCGTGGGGTGCGCGGTTCCAATAAGCAAGGACAAGCTTGTGGGGAGCATGGGGCTCCAGTTCAGGCTGGACCTGGGACCAGAGCCTGCAGAACTCCGTCGGGGACTGAGATAAGGACATAGCTGGGGCCAGGCCTGGTCGAGGGCCCAGGCGGCAGATTTCCCAGGCACTCCCTCGGGGCTGACCTGGAACTCACACCTGTTTTTGTAGGCCTGGGGCCAGCAGGCCCGAGTGGCTGCAATCTGGGACCAAGGAAGAAAGATGGGGTCTGAGGAACGCTAGAGGGCTGGGTCCGCCTTACCTGGTCCAGTTTGGTCGCCCATGGCAGCCATCACTGGCTCCTTCTGCTCCTTGGGGATCATCCTGTAGATGAGACGATCCATGAATGGGCCAGGCCGCCTCCACTGCCCTCCCAGATCTCCTCCAAGTCCCTGGCCCATCTGACTCCAGCCCACCCCAAAGCCTCAGGCAAGGGCTGTCTGAGCTGGAAGGGCCTTTGGGGCTTCTCTGTGCAGAGGAGGATGCTGAGGTCCACGGGGGTGGGGGAGATGCTCAGTCTTTCATACACTAGAGAAACACTCTCTCTTCAGGGGTAGTAGTAGCTGGGGTGCTAAGGGTGGGGAAGGTGGGGGTCTCCAACTGTTTTTTTCTGCTGACACAGGGGAGCTCTGATCAGAGGCTGAAAGAGGTGGGAGGGGGCACATGGGGTCGGGGTGGGTAGCCTGGGGTGACATGGTGGTCTGCAAGGCTGGCCCTCCCCCGTTGTCCCCAGTACTTGGTACTAAGGCTTGAGGGCACAGGCTGATCCAAGGAAGCTGAGAAAATCATCACTCCCTTCCTCTGCTCGGGGCTAACTTTCATGATGCTCTCTTTTATTTTAATAATATTTTCACTTTTAAATGATAGTTGACATATAATATTATAGAGTGATCAGGCATTTATACCACTTATGAAGTGATCACCCCAATAAGTCTAGCACCCCATGATGCTCTCTTCTTCCTCACCCCTCTCTTTCTCCTCCTCCATGTCCCCATTTGTATCTCCTGGAACTTTCCAGGAAATTTACACATAAAATGAGGTCCAGAGTCCCACCAAGCCTCTGCAGGCTGCAGGTCCAGATCCCCTAACTGGTCCCCCAGAGAGAAGACAGAGCCCGTGAGCCCCCTGACCGACCACAGACCCCTGTGCCCATCTGCTTTGCTTCCGGGTTTATTCCACATTCCTTCCTTAGAAAAACCATCTGCCTCCACCCGTCCCCGACGCCCGCTCCCAGGCTAGATTGGCGGGCGCTGAGCTGGGTGGCCTGGCGTCTGCTCGGTGGCCAAGACTCCCTCTGTAATCGTCGTGAGCAAGTTGCTTTCCAGCTCTGTGACTCAGTTCCCCCCTCTGTAACATAGGGGGTTGGGCTAGATCACGGGGTTCCATGGGTGGGCTTCGAGAGCATCCACAACCCCCTAAAACTGGGTGCAAACATGAGCAGTCGGCATGAGTTTGGGGTGAAGGCCACGAGATGGCTGAGAACGTTCCAGCTGCGACCACCGAGGACTCCGCAGTCTGCAGGTCTGCGTCTTGATGAACACCGCCCACCCCTCCAACACACACAGAAATTCACAGATGTTCAGACGGGCCCCTCATTTTCCAGCCTGGGACCCTGCTTCCCTCCACCACCTAAAGATTTGGGAGTCCTACGCAGAGCCATTACCTATTCCCACCTCTAATCCTAGCCACCTCCACCCCATTTAACCTAGAGTACCCTAGGGCTTGGATCCCTTCCTGCTCCAGCTCAGGATCCAGGTCTCCCCGAGGCCCCACACTCCCCAGACCCTCTGCAGGCCCTTCCTCTGCTTGGACAGAACGGAGCTTTGCAAATTGGCTCACCCCTTCCGCCCACTCCCCACAACTCTGCAAGTTCCCCTCAGATTCTGGTACCTGAGAGGTGAGACCACAGTGGGCAGAGAGAGTGTGAGACCCTCAAGATTAACACCTCTGTCGGAAAGCTGCGAGTCGAGTGGTCGGTGTTCCTACTGCGGTCAGGCGGTCAGTGAGCGGAGCGTGCCCTGCAGTCAGCTCCAGCCTCAGCTGACGAGAATCCTTCCTGCCTCGTCGTGGCTCACAGCCTTATTTCGGGCTGCAACAGGATCCAGGGACAGATGCTAAAAGCACCAGGCCCCAGGGAAGACAGGTGCCCCAGCAGCAGGCCCTTGCCGACAGAAGGGATTGGGTGCACGTGTACACACACACGTTCACATGCACACACCAAAGTCACCTGGAAATGCTGCGAGTCTCCAGTCACTTGAGCTTGCTAATTGTATCCTCAGTGCCTAGAAAGGGGCCTGATGGGATCACCACAGATATTTGTTGGATGGATGGATGGGTGGATGGATGGATGAATTGTCCTTCAGTATCTTTGTTCAATTCACTTATTCTTTCTTTCCTGCCTTCACTTCTTCCTTCTTCTTTCCCTCCTTCCTCTCTCCCTTCCTTCACCTTCTCACATTCTCTGAGCCTCTCTCTCTGGACTGAAAATAAATGAAGCAGGACTCCGTGCTGAACTCAGCCGGGCCCAAGTCAGGCCCGTAAATAAGCCTTTGAGATGCATGATGGGAAATGCTCAGGGAGCATCCAGGGGAGGGTGCCATCAGCTTGGCCTGGGGGTGGGGAAGGCTTCCCAGCGGAGGAGACATTTGAGCTGGGCCTTGAAGGCTGAGTGGGAGTTAACTGGGCAGAGAGAGGACACAGGAACTGCAGGCCAAGGCCGAGTCACGTACGAGGAGGGTAGGGGGTCGGCAAGTAGAACCAGAACTGGGAGGAGGGGGAGTGCTGAGAGATGAGGCCAGGCAGGTGGGCAGGGGCCAGATCGTGTCAAGCTTGTCAAAAGGCAAGTGTGCTTTATAAAGAGCCGTTGAAGAGTTTAAAGTGGTGACGTGGAGTGGTCAGGCTGGCATTTTTCCAGAGATGTCTCTGGCTGCCGTAGGGAAAGTGGAGGGGAGGGAGCCCGATGGGAGGCAGGCCCTCACTGTGGTCAGGGGAGGGGTGGGGGTGGCTGGACGGGGCATTAAGCGGGGCATCTGCAGGAGGAGAGGGGCTTAGGGGTACTGGGGGGGTCCCCGGGTGCTGGTGAGAGACCGAGGGCCGAGGTGAGGGGAGGGCCAGTCCAGGGTCTGGCTCAGGCAACTGAGGAAGGCAACAGGAGAGGAGCATTTAGGGTGGGGGATGGGGCAGATACTGAATCCATCTGGGATGGACCTACTTTGAGGTGCCTGGGGACTAAGATAGGGAGGTAGGGGGATGCTGTGTTCAGGGGAGGTTCCAGCTGAAGGTAGAGAGTGAGAGGCACACCAGCCACTGCCATGGAAAGGCAGGACCAGCAGGGCTGCCCTGGGTCCAGGGCCAGGAGCAGCTGCACCTGGGTGATGGGGCACTGTGCAAGGGCATATATGTCTGACAACATCTTGGGAAGACGCCTGGATGCTGCTGTGGACCACCTGAGCTTGGCTTTCTGCCACTCAAGTTCCTCTGTTCATCTCTGCAGGGTGTGAGCTTCCAGACAGGAAGGTGAGGAATGATCCCAGGGCAGGTGTGGTCTTCCCTGGGAGTGAGGTCACCATCGCCTTCTCGGGGCAAAGGATGCCCCCATCAGGAGAGGAACATTTTGGTGGTCGGGGTCCTGAGGTCACTAGGATTGTCTGGACTTAGAAGTGGTCTCCTCTTCCTGCCTAGAGCCCTGATTTGCCATGAGGAAGTAGTCCCAGAGCCCTGGGTCCTGCTGCAGCTTGGGCCTGCACGCTCCAGTGACAGTGCCCTGTGGTCAGGGTCTGGGCCAAACCACCCGGACACATCACCTAGCCCAGCTCACTCATTTCACAGATAGGGAAGCTGAGGCTGAGAGAAGGGGTAGGCTTACCCCAGGGCACCGGCTAGTAGGAAATAGGACCTGGATTTCAGCTCAGTGACTTCTTTGGTGGCCTGGAGTTTTTCCATTGTTCCCTTTCTCTCCTCATGGTTGCTCCTTCCCATGTGTGTTACACATTCTCATCCATCCGGAGTCCCAGGGACGGTCCCATGGTTGGGGAGAAGGGAAGGGCTTTAGACACAGCTGAAATTGACCCAGGAGACAGAAGGATGCAGGAAGCATTTATTTAGGGCCAGAGCTGAATTCTATAGGAGGCAAGAGACAGGACACAGGCAATCTCTAGTGGGTTAGAGGAGAGGGCTGGGGAAGAAGGCAGTGAGATGAGGGCACAGCCAGGCAGAACCGCAGCTTTCTAAGGCTGCCTCCTGCTGGCTCTTTGGGGATATACAGGTAGAAGTAGATACTCTATGCCACGGCATTAGCCAGTGGCCTCAGCGTCTCTTCTCTGAAATAGGCCTTAGCCCATCTTCCATACTGCAAGGGACCCTGAAGCACATGGGATCTTTGGTAAATGTGGTCACTCATCAATGACCAAGCTGGACCACCCGCTCATCTTCCTACCAACAGGGCCTTTGTTCCCAAACCTTAGACCCTTGGCACCCGCTGGGATCCCTTCTTTATTCCAAGCACCCCACCCACATCCTGACCCCCAGCTTCCTCTAGCCTCACTTAAGGGTTCCAGATCTAACAAGTAATTTTGGGTTAGGGTAAGTCTATCCCTAACCCCACGTAACACTCTGTCCTTCATCTTTAGCAACATCCTAGTTTCCTATGCACCTTTGATCCTCAGCCAATTCCAATAACCCTCCCCCACCTGCACCCCTGCACTTAATATCCTAAAGCAGATATTCTGAACCTCTAGAGGGCACCACCAGCCAACTCTGGAAACGGTTGAACTACGGCCTCCTTCCCTAATACTGTAGAATGCGTTTCAAGACTGGAAGAGTCCTCAGAGGTCATCTGAGCCAAACCATTTTCTACTAGAAGCTCCTCTATGCATCCTAGCCACTGCTTGCATCCCTGCTGTAACAAGGAACTCTTTATCTCCCTCTTTCCATGCAGGCAACCTCAAACTCAGGGCCATCAGGTAAAGCTGCAGGCTAGCAGAAAGCTCCATGTCCCGCTGAAAGGGCTGCCATGAAAGGGCCCAAGAGGGATGGATGGGTTGGAGGCACCTAGAGTATTCCTGGAGGCTCAAGTCCTGGGCCTGGGGGCAATCATTGCCTTATAGCGCTCTTCTCTGGCTGCAGATAAGATGCCCTGGGCAGCCTAAGCTGGGGTGGAGAAAAGCATAGAGGGATGTGGGAGGAGGAATCTTCCCGCCTCTTCTCTCCAGAGGAGCCGGGCACCTTGAGCTGGCCTGGGAGACCTCTCTAAAGGTCACCATGGTAAAAATAGAGCTTGTCTGGGCAGGGATGGAAAACAGCTGCTACTGCTTGGGACTTGGAGCCAGGAAGGCAGACGGTCAGGCCGGGACCTGGGCAGGGAACTTAGGCCTAGGATCTTTTGAACACACCCCTCATTTGCCAGACTCCAGAGAGCAGAGCCAGGAAGGGAGGGAGGAGTGTGGAACCCTGGATGCAGCAAGTACAGGAGTTCAGATATACAACACCCTGCCTTCTCCAAGGCGTGTGTGTGTACTGATGGGAGGGGCATTTAGAAGCTTGGAGATTGCTTCGGCCAAAGTCCCATTAAGCAGGTGGGAAAGCTGAGGGTCAAGGAAGGGTCTTGCCCAGGTTCACACAAGGGCCGAATGATAGAGTTGGGGCTCTGTCAGTACCCCACCCTCAAGCCCAGAGCTCTCCTTCCTGGCCCCTTATTTCTAGGGCTGTCCAAAAAAGCCAGACCCCTTGGGGACATGGTGCTGAAGTATCCGAAGTTTGAGGACTCTTCTTTCCGGCTGGGCCCTCCCGTGGTGGAGGATGCGTTGGGGGCGGGGGAGGTTTTAGGTGGTGCAGGAGGCCTCGGCGGGGAGGCTGCCACGCTTGAGCCTCAGGCTCCCGTTCCACCCGCGGGGGCAGATGTTGTAGCCGAGGATGCCGGGCGACTTCGCCCCGGAGTCCTCGGAGTCGAGGGACACGTCCGAGTCCGTGGGTGAGCGGCGATAGGGGAAGGGCCTGGACGGTGCGGGAAGCGGGCTGCGGGGGCTGGCACAGGGCGACGGCCCAGCCAGCAGCGGACCCCGCTGGATCGGGGCGAACGTGGCCCCAGGGGTGGCTGCCGGGCCGGGGCGGGCAGGCTGCGGCGAGCGCATGCGCGGCGGCGGCGGCGGGGGCGCCCTGGGCGGGGAAAAGGGCCGCAGGCTCTCTGCACCCGCCGGCCGCGGGGAGGCGCTCTTGCGCCGGGCCGCGTTAATTATGTTTCGCGCCAGGAGAGCCTGCAGCTGGCGGCTGGGGGGCCGCACCTCGGTCTCAGATCGTTGCGGGGATACCGAGCGCTCGCTCCACGAAGGAGACATGGGTGGCGGCGGCGGCAGTGGCGGGGGGCTGCTCATGCTGCTCCCGCGGCCGGGCTCCCACGGCCGCGGGCTCACCCAGCCGTCCAGGCTGCTGGGGGGCCGGGACGCGCCTGGCGTCCAGGGTGGGGAGGTGGGCAGGCTCTCGCGGCGGTCCTGTGGAGAGAGCAGAGACGGTGGGGGCAAGCGTTAATGTTGGGGTTTTCCATACCGGAATTTCGGAAGGGTTCGAGTTTGATTTGTCCATTGTACAGTCAAGGAAGCCAGCGATCAAAGTCGGGTAGTGACTACAATAAAACGTAGGTGTCCCCACTCTCAGTCCAGATGCTTGAAAAAGCCCATGATGCCTGGCCCTGGGCTTAACAGGGAGGCAGGTGACTGGTGGTTAAGAACCCTCGCTTTGGAGACAGACCCTTGTACTTTCGGAATGAACTTGGGCAAGTCACTTCAACAGCAGAAGCAGCTGGAAACTTCTGGACTTCATTTTCCTCCTCTGTGAAATAGGGTCTCATATCAGCATGTTACCATGTGGGGTTGTTGTGAGAATTAAATGAGATAACTAATGTGAAAGACTATTCATGTGTTAGAAGATCTCCTGGAAGAAAGAAAGTGCTCCCTAGATGTTCGTTGCCATAAAGAAATGCTGGAAGGACTCACATGAAACTAAGCAAAGCGGTTCTTTAGGAAATGGGGTGAGCCTGGCAAGGTGTAGAGCCACAGTGGTGGGAATAAGGCTTTTAGTGCATTATTTTTTTTTATGTAAGTTTAGGTTTTTGAACCACATAGATGTAGTATCTATTAAAAAAATAAACAAAAACATCGATCATTTTTTTAAAGGTTGGACTTAAGACAAAGGCCTTCTCAGCCCCCACCCCATTGCAATGGTCGCCTTCTAATTTTTCCTTGGGTGCCTTGAATAGGGAGTAAGTTCCCACCGACAGATGGAAAGAAACACACAAGGAAGTTGGGCCATTCCTCCCCAGGCAGCATGTTCCCCTCAGGGGACTTCTTGCCTGTATGGGGTGTAGGGGGCGGGGACTGTGGACGTCTTTGAGGTTATGAAGCACTGCTCTGCACCACATTCGTTTCCTACCTACTTAGGGACTTTCCAGTCCCCAAAGTTCAGCCTCATGCTCTGTCTCTCACTAGATCCTCACAACAGACCGGGGAGGTAGCTGGCATCATCACACCCATTTTACAGTGATGAAGATGAAGTTCAGAGGTGTAAATAACTATCCCATATGTTCTGCCCACTAGGAATATGTGTGTGTGTGTGGCTATTTATTGCTTGAAGGATCGCATTACACTTCATTTGAACTGGTATGAAAGGGCAGGATGTGGGCTCCATGCCTAGTGTGTATCTGCTAGATCATCCAACTGTTCACCCAATCAGATTCCAGCAAGAAACCAGTCCACTCAGCCTTCAGTCCAATCCAAATTCACCACCAGTCATCCCTCAGAGTCCAGAACTAGCCAGTCCATTCAGTGCCTCCTACTCAATCAAAACCTAGAACCATTCATAACCATTCTCTAATCCAATCAGTAGTCACAGCCAAGCCATTCAACCTCTCATTCAATCAGAATCTAATTTCTCCCAATCAAAAAGAAGCAATAGACAAAGTATATGTTTTCTTCAAGGTAGCAGCTGCTAGATGAGCAGACTTAAAATTTGAGCCCATTAACCTGAAGAGCAATGCTGTGCAGGAGTTTTTCATGGGATGGTCATGCTGGAGCGACCCGAGACCCCAGTTGTCAAATTCAAGCTCTGTACGGGATCCACCCCTTGTATTCCCAAGTTCATAGTTGTGTATATGTAAGCCAGAGATACCAGGAGGTGCTCTATCCGTGCGACATCCCAGGAAGCTTGCGGTCAGCCCAGCTGAGGGAAGTGGGGCCAAGAGTTCATGGTCAAAGCCCATCAACAGCAACCTGGACTCTTCAGCCAGAAGAGTAGGCTGAGGCAGGGGGTGCTGTGTGAACTGTTGGAAATCTCTAAGGGTCTGCTTTCTCTGCCTTTGGTGGCCACAAGGGGAAGGCTAAGGCCAGCAGCAGGTGGGAGGAGTAACAGGACCAACTGCTCAAGCCTGGACTGGAATGTGGGGGGCAGTGGTGAGTGGCTGCTCATCACTTGGAGGTGGGCCAGAGCCTGACCTCATCGGAACTTCCATGACTGGATACTGACTCTGTGTGTGTGTGTGTGTGTGTGTGTGTGTGTGTGTTGGGGGGGGGGCGCGGGGGCGGAGGAAGGGTGCACAAGACCCTTCCAAAAGGCTGTGGGAAATCAGAGCTGCTCATTTTCTGGCACAGATCTCAATGCACCAGTATACACCAGAACTCCTGTGAAGTACACAGGGCTGAAAACTCCGAAAGTGCGCCCACTTACCCCAGCCCCAAAGCAGGGCACGTGTGTGGGGCGAAGGCACAAGGAGAGCAGAGCCAGACGGGAGCTGGTAGCTCCCGCACTGCCTTCTGTAGTCCTTCCATTGCATGGAAGGGGAGACTGCGGCCCTGGGGCTGTCTGGGGCCGCACAAGGAGTTGGGTGCAGACCTGGGACTAGACCCTAGTTCTGACTCTCAATGGCGGTTTGTTCCTCCCCACCTGGGACAGAGACCCAGTGTTCCGCAGAGGCAGGCAGTGATGAGTGTGGGATGTGGCCAGATTTAGACAGCAGGGAGAGGAGGAGGAACCTCAGGGAACCCGAGAGTTTGTGCTCCGGCTAAAGGCACGTAAATTCCACTGTGAGAGAACTCAGCACCCTGAACCGTAAGAGGTCGTGGGTTTTCCCCATGCTCTACGGCCTTTTTGGCAAAACTCTGAAGGAAGGAGAAAGCAGAACAACGTGTTTTCCATGGGGTTCTGGTTTCCGGGGAAGAAGGAGGGCACCTCACTTCCCAGCCAGCACACATCTATACCCACGGGTGATCCAGACACACAGCAGACGCAGGCAGTACGGGAGACACACCGCGCATCCACACACAGTAACGGAGCTGCCCCGCCCCACTTCCCAGGCCAGAATCGGGGAGGAGGCAGACAGCCCTCACTGCAGCCAGCGAGCACGGAAGAAAGAAGGAAGCAAGGCAGATTTGAGGCAGAGTGTATTGAGAACAGGAGAGAAAACAAAGTTGAGGGGAGAGCTCAGCCAGCCTGGCCACAGGCACTGCAGGATGGAAGGTGGGCTCTTCCATGCCGGCCCTCGGGAGTCGAAGAGAACAGGGGTTCGGGGGCAGGGGCTTCACTGTGTCCCGGGAGGGGGCTGGTGTGAAGTTGCTGAGCTCACTCATGCCTCCTACATGCCCCCGCATTCCGGGTAGAATGCACTCACTGGGAAGGCACCCCCTGTTCCCATGGAGATGAGCCCAGAGCTCAGGAAAACTGCAGGCTCAGCCCAGCATGGGCACCGCCTCCACCACCCCTCTCCCCACTGGGGAGCCCAGAAATAGGGCTGGGAAAGAGAAAGTGGGTGGTGCTCAGGCCCAGCCTTGGGGAGCTTCCATCTGAATTCTACCTCTTGTGTCTATATTCTCTCAACCCCCACAAAGCCTGGTTTTGGGGGGCTGTAACACATCAAAGCTGTCAGAGGGGATGAGGCTCTCAGACTACCTGGCTCAACACCCTCACTGCACTATGAATCCGAAGAGATACGTGGGATCTGTCTCCTACATCCCAGCCTTTTCCTCGAACCCTTAAGGTCTCCTCTGTCCCATCACACTGAGCTGAGCGGCTGTGCTCCCGCCCCAGCCCTCGCCATGCTGCCACCTCCAGGCCATCCTGCACCTACGGCATCCCAGCCGGGGCTTCGGATCCCCGGGCTCCTCCGGCCACACCCTTCCCAGAACACCCTAGCAGACACCTAATCTCCATCTGTCCTATGGCAACTGCCCCTGTCCTTCCCCTCTCTTCCCAGGGGACTGTCATCACTTACAAGGCCTTTCTCCAGAAGCACCAGCCTATCCTCTCAATCCTCACAGACGCTCACAGCCGGTAGGGCCCCCATTGTATAAATGAGAAAACAGGCCCAGAAAGGGAACGTGACTTGGCCAAAGTCACACAGCAAATGAGAGGCTGAGATGGGACCAGAACCCTACTCGGCTGCCTCTCTCCCTCCCACTGCATGGAGATGGCTGCTTTTGGTTGGGCCGATCTCGGCTACAGCTGGAGAGAAAACAGCCAACGGGTACATCGCCAGGGGCCTGTGTCCTCGCTGCACACCCATGCCTGCGCGTCCTTCTACGGGGCTCTCCATCTCTCTGGGTCCCCTGGACCTCCCCTAACCCAGAACAGTGAGGGCAAGCCCGGGAACCGGGGCGAAGGGCTGGGATGAATGGCCTGAGCGGTCCCCAAAGCGGAGCCAGGTGTTTGGAGAAGGCATGGAGGCAGCGGAGCAGGAGGGCAGGAAGAAAAGCATCAGACAGCAGTGGCGGGCTAAGTCTTCGTCCAGCAGAGGAAAATGTGGAGGCCGAGGCAAGGCTCTCTGAAGCAGTGGAGAGGAAACGGCGTCCAGAAGGCAGAGGCGGAAGAGACAGACCCATGGAGGTGAGAATCCAGCAACAGGCAGAGAGGTACCGGGAGCTGGGGTCCTGTGAGGGTGGCCCCACTGGGGCCGCAGAGGAGGCAGCCCCTTGGCTGGCTGTTCTGCAGGCACTGGCAGGTTCTGCTTGCTCCAGAAGCCCCTGTTAGGGCCCCCTTCCAGGCCACTCCCCAGCAAGACGCTGGCATCGCATTAGCTCACAGAGGCCAGAGGAAGCCCCCAGCCTGGGTCGGGCCTGCCTTGGGAGTTCTCTCTCCATGACCCTCCTCCCCGCAAGAAGCAGACATCATATCCCTCTGACATGGAGTCCAACCACCCTCGGGGGTGGAAATGGTGGCTGCCACTCGGGGGAGGTGACTTGCCCAGCATCACAAAGCTGGCTGGTGGCAGCGTCAGCCCTTGAGCCCTGCGTCCCCACACTCCTGACTCTCAGCCCTGGGCCGCTTCCCGCCACATCTGCTTTCCAGCCTGCCCTCAGAGAGGGGGCCCTGACGGGCAGTGGGAGCCCCGTGGGGTCTGTTACTTGAAGCAGAAGGAAGGCTTCCACACCTGAGCCTCGATCCCGACGTTCCGGGTGGAGAAGGAGGGCCTCGGGGCCTGCTTGGCCCGGGGAGACCAGGCCCTGGAGGGAGACACGGGGGAGATGTCGCTGCCGTAGGTAGGGCTCACGGCGGCGGGCTGGAGGCCGTCCTGGCCGGGGGCTGTGTAGAGGCCTGGCGAGGGGCGGGAGGGCCGAGGCAGGGCAGGTGACCGAGGGAGGGTCGCCTTGGGCAGGCTGGGCACCAGGTCCAGGGAGCTCGGCTTGACCGGCGAGGCGGCTCTAGGCGAGGCCTTGGCGGGCTCCTTGACGGGAGACAGGACGAAAAGGGAGGGCCTCAGTTGGTACGGCGGCTGCGACTGCTTGGTGGGCTCCGGGCGCAGGACCCCGTTCTCAGGCAGGTAGCCGTGGTAGAGGGAGGCAGGAGGGGTCCGCGCTGGGCTTCGGGACGCCACCCGGAGGCTGCCGGAGGAGTACTTCCAGGAGGAGGGCAGGGACATGGTGGGCGAAGGGCAGCGGGCCAGCTCGGTGGGGCCCGAGGACTCGATGACGTACTTCTCCATGCGGGACTGGCGGCGGGCATAGAGCTCGGCCCCTTTCCCCGAGGCCTCAGACAGGTTCTGGTTGGGTTTGGGCTTCGGCTTGGCCTGGATGCGCGGGGACTTGAGGCATGAGGCCCACTCCGGGAGGACGTTCTCGGCTCCAGTGGGGCTGTCCCTGTCCCTGGGTGCCGGCTCCTGCTGGAAGTTGGAGGCCTCGGCCCCCAGCGCGAAGGGCTCCTCCTCCGCGCCAGCCTCCCCCTGGTCCCTCTGCCTCCGCTTCTCATCAGCCGTCTGCACCAGGTCCAGCAGGTCTGGATTCGGAGTCACCTTGGGCTTCTCCACGAAGGTGAACATGGATTTCCGGCTGCCCCTCCGGGCCATAGACTCCTCCAAAATCCCTGTCTTGCTGGCGGGAGTCCCCTGGCCCTTCAGATGGGAAGGCTTGGGGTCAGAGCTGGGGTACAGGGCGGAGTAGGAGGGGGGAGACCTAACCCGGGAAGCCGGGGGAGCTGTGGACAAGGTCTCGGCATAAGTGGGGGGTGGGGTGAAGTTCCCAAAGGGGCGTCTCTCCAAGGCTGGGCTTCGCTGTGCCATGGGCCTCCTCTCCACCATGGGACTGTGAGACATTACGTGCCTCTGTGGCCGAGGGCTCCTGTCGGCCATGCCGGAGGACTGGGGAGCTGGGGCCTTCCCCCCCAGGTGCCGTCTCTCTACCATGGGGCTCTGCTCCATCTGGCCAGTGCTCCCTGGTGCCTGGACCCCAAAGGGCCTGGCCGTCCTGTTGACCACGGAGGGGGGCTTGGCCAGCGTGAGGTGGACCTCGCTGTATAACTTGGTAGGTGTGGTGGCCGCTGCCCGCCCGAGCGTCTCTTGTTCTGCTGGCACCGCTGTGGCGCTGGGCTGGACATCGATGAGCAGGGAGCTAGACATGAAATCCATGGCTGGGGGCCCGGAGCCGGAGATGGGAGCGGCTTCTCTGGGGAAGGCGCTGGTGGCGGTAGATGGAGGTGAGACCTTATCAATCAGGAGGGCGCTGGACCTCACCTCTGCAGCCAGCTCCTGGGGCTGCCCACCAGCACACAGGGTGCTGGGTTTGGAATCTGGCACGGTGTCATTTGGTGGGAGTTGTGCCTCTGGAGAATTCTGTGAGACGTTGGAAAGCGGCAGGCTCTGGGGGGTGACAGTGGCTGGCGGGTTCTGGTTGACATCGGTGGCTGGCAGGTTGTGGTTGCTAGTAGATGGGGGTGTGACGAGTGCGGCGCTGGGCGAGGCAAAGTTCTGGTTGATATCGGCAGCTGGGCTGTGGGTCTCGGCTGGAGGCGGTGTCGGTGGGCTCTTCTGGGTTTCTCGGTTCTGGGACAGGTGGAGCCCATTGGCCGTCAGCAGGGCGGCGTTCTCCTTTAAATACACCACCAGTGGCACCTCTTCCTCCTCACTGGCCACCTTCTCTAGGTGCCGCAGCAAGCTGGCTTCCTCTGAGCACCCCTCCATGCTGCGACCAGGGGCCCCTGCGGCAAGGCTCTGGCCGTCGGGGCTCCTGGGAGGGCCTGGCTCGGGGGGTGAGGTGGGGTTCAGGCGGAGCTCTGGGGCATGGCCCGTGGGGCTGGCAGGGGGCACCCTGAGGGACTCCTGGCTGGGCTTTGGTCCCCTCTGGCCGTGGCTCTCCAAGGTGAACTCGTTTACCCTCTGCCGGCGCCTGTTGAAGAGCTGGACACCTCGGGAGTTGGAGCTGGGAGGGGTGGTCAGCTGGGCTGCGATCTGCTGGCTCCTCGCCTTGGCCTCCTTCAGGTCCTTCTCAGTGAGGCTGGTGCTCCGGCCCAGTGCTGCGGGGAGGGACAGAGCCCCGGTTAGCAGTGGGAATGCCGAGTCACAGGGGTACCCAGACAGACAGGCAGACAGACAGACAGACAGTTGGTCATCCGTGACCCACCTGCAGATGATCTTTCCCTCCAGCATTTGATCTTTACTTAACTGTTTCCTGGAGTCCCCTCTCTTCATAAAGACCACTGACCCAGCCCTCACGGCCCAACCCAAATGCCAACCCCTGGATGAGACCCTCCCAGCTGCCTCACTGGGCGGAGGGAGACCGCCTCACCCCAGCGGTCCAGCCCCATTCCACCCCATGCATCTGCCTGCTCCTGTCTCACCAGGCTCTACCCTGCGGGCTTTCTTTCTGTCTCTTGAAAAGGCCAAGTGTGTTCCTGCCCCGGGGCCTTTGCACATGCTTTTCCTCTGTTTAGAATGATCTTTCCCAGGTGGAATTCCAGGTTGCTTCCTTCTTGCTATTCAGGGCTTACTTGAAGGTCACCTTCCTGGAGGGGCCTTCCTCTGTAATGAGCCCTCCCCTTTCCTAGCCCATCTCTGCTTTATGTCCTCATAACCCTCAACACGGTTCAGAATGATCTTCTCCACCTGTTTCCTTGTTTACTGTCTGCCCCCCAACCCGGAACCTGAACTCTAAGGGGGCATAGACCTTGCTTGACTTGTTCGGCACTCCCGCCCGGCCCCTGGGAGAGAGCGTGGCATAGAGTGGGCGCCCAGGGAACCTGACTGGACGCACGAATGAACCCCCAGGACGTTTCCTAGGTGCTTTTCTCAGGACACTGGACACCTTCGAATGCAGAGAACAGTCATCTGATACCACGAACACGAACACTAACACTCCCCTTTTAAGAATAGGCCATGCCGTCACATGATCTAAAAAAAGTTAAAAACATGAAAAAGTATAGTGTTCAAAAACAAAAAAAAAAACGTAGACAGTGAAAAGTGTCCCTCCCCCTGGGCGCCCCACACCACAGACCAGGTCATAGCTGCCATTAGCTTCTTCTACGTCCTTGCAGACTTTCCTCCCATTTTTATTTAAACACTCATTTTAAGATGCTCACAGTTTAATGTTATAAAAGTAATAAATGGGGCTGATTTCAGTGGCGACTATACTAGAACACTGCACTATTTCGTGTTATCCTCACAAGAACCCCGGGAGACAAGCACCACTCGCCCCTGTTTTACAGAAACGGAACATGAGGTCCACAGACGTGTGAATGGCTCAGCCAAAGTCACACTGCACAGGGCGGCGAAGCTGGGGTCAGCACCAGTTCTCCTTGGGTCCATGGCCATACTGGTTTCTAAAGGTCCACTTGGGACACACGGGGGAACACAGTCAGTAGGTTTCGGGGTTCAGTCTGGGGCTGGAGGCTGGGGCCTGAGGTCGGGGGTCAGGCTGGGGTCAGACCCCATCCTCTGTGAGTTCACTGCTGGCACACAGTCGGTGCTCAGCTTATGCTATGGAGCAGCGACCAAACAAATGGCTGCCCGAGCAAATGGGCTGGCGGACAGGTGGCTGGGACGGGCTGTGGCCAGGGTTAGCAGCTCACTCAGTGGCTGAGAAAATTCCTCCCCAGCCCCTGCTCCCACTGCGGGAAGCTAATTAGTTCTGGAGGAATCTGACCTTGCCCTTCCTCCTCCCTTCCCCTCATTAGCACTGGCCGTGACATGCTGAGTGAGCGTCCAGGGACAGTTTTCTAGGCATCCTGCCAGTGAGGCTCAGAATTCATAGACTCAGAGCTGGAAGGGCCCTTATGGAGGAGCAATGTCACTGCTACCCCCATTTTATAGATGAGGAAACTGAGGTCCAGAGCCTGGTGTTGGGCAGGGCTCCTGCTAGGGTCAGCAGGGAGGCCACGCAGAGCAGAAAGGCTGTGGCAGCAGTTTCACTGGGACCAGGCCCAGCGGCCACAGGCTGTCTGGCCCCAACCCCATTCTTTCCACCTCCCATCAGGACCTGCCCCCACCCCAACACCTGCTCCCACATGTCCAGGACAGTGAGAGCACACAGCCTATGCCATGTGCCCCCGACACCCACTCCCTCCTGGTAGGGCTCCTCTCCTGCCTGGATCACCTCACCGATGCAAGGTGACCAGTTTGGGGGGAGGTTAGAGGGGCCCCGAGAGGTTGCTCAGCTACGCAGTGTCCACCTCCTCTGCTCTGTGCAGAAACCGGGCCTCGTGGCCCAGATCTGGGCTCTGCCACTTGCTGGCTGGGTGACCTGGGCAAGTCACCGCACCTCTCGGAGCCCGTTTCCTTAACTGAGCAGGTGACAAAGCACTGGGAGGCTGCAGTGAGGTCACAGCTGCCGGGAGGCTCAGTGTCCTCAAGCCCAGGTTCATGGGCAGAGGGCTCACGCTGCCCGGGCATGAGGTGGGACTGGTGACCCCACTCTTCTCCCTGGAAGGGCTCAGACGTTCTTCTAGCAAAGGAGAAGCACTGCACAGGTTAGGGTCCCGAGAAAAGAGGTGGCCCTCTTAAGGTCACACAGCAAGCATTCCAGAATTCTGGGGGTGGGTAGGAGGCACTGTTGCCTTATACTACGGAACCTCAGCAACTCAGAAATGGCTGTCACATGGTCCAATTTCTGCGTCCCTAAAAGTGTGCCTCGGAGGGCACAACCTCTGATTACACACTCAGTGGACAGGGAGGTCACTACCCTGAGAGGGGCCTTCTACTTGTGAAGAGTCCTCAGCTATAAAGTTGTTCCTTACACTAACTTCTGCCCCCGAATGCCACCCAGAGAAAACGCTTCCTTTTCCCAACCTGACAGCCCTGCACGGATTCCCAGACACAAAGCGCATCCCCACGTGGCACAGCCAGGGGCAACACCCCAGCCCCACTGACAGGCCTCAGGACACACACGCAGCCAGTGCAGCGATCGCAGCGGACACCCACTGCGCTCGCCCTGTGCGCCCAGCCATGCGCTTCACGTGTGCGGTTCCATTTCATTCCCGTGACATCCCTATGAAGCATGAGCTATTATTATCTGCTTTTCAGTGATGAGAAAACAAAGGCTCAGCAAGGCAAAGTCAGCGGCCCAGGGTCACAGGGCCAGAAAGTAGTGCAACCGGCTCACCCCTGACCCAGGGAGCACCACACTTTCTGGCCAGCAGGTTCCCACAATGTGAGGCTCATAATCCAGAACTCCAAACGGCCCTGAACTTTTATCAGTCTCCCCCCACCCCCACCTTCTCTGCTTCAGTCCTATCCCCACACCCCACACTGGTTCTGAAGGCCATGGGTTTGGAAAACTCTCAAATGGCAGAGCGTGCAGGCCCTCGGGGGTAAGCTGGCCTGGGTGGCTCAGAGAGGGAACCGGTGCAGAGAGGGCGGTGGGGCCCCGACCTGGTCTGCTGGTCCCCAGCTAGACATGGAGCCTCCCCCAGGCTGCTGTTCTGAGACAGCAGGAACGTGGCCAAAGCGGCCAGGGGGTGAGAGAGCCTGCCTCTGAGGAAGCTCCGTGCCCTCTACCCCAGCCCACAGTGACTCCATGGAAAAGGAATTCATCAGGAGGTTTGAAGCAGACTGAGCTAGCAGTCTGGATGATTTCTGCCATCCTGCATGAACAAAGCTGAGGGGATGGGGCTGGGCCAACTATGGGCGCCCCAGAGTCCCCCACTGCAGGGCACCAGGGGAGACAGTTCCACCCAAAATTCCTCAGACTAGGGAACTGCCACCTCTGGCAATGCCCCAGGCAGGGGGGTCGAAAATCATGCTGTCTGGTGTCAGAGAGGCAGGAGGTGGCCAAGGGCTACAGGGGACAGGCACCTCGCCAAGCCCCCAACCTGTGCAAGCCCCCAGCCTGGTTACAGCCTGCACCTGTGCAAGTCACAGCACCCCCTCTTCTCTGAGCCTCTGCAGGGCCAGGCTGGGGTGCTGGCCCTGGAAAGCCCCAGACTGGACAATGGATCAGGAGCTCTGAAGACAGGCCTTCAGGAGAGGAAGGGGTGAGGGCAGGTGCAAGGAAGAGCTGCCTGAGGTGGTAAGGGAGCTGGGGAGACCAGGGTCCACCGGGGTTCAATCCCCAAGTTGGGGAGGGGGACAGGAAGCCCCGAGTACCGCCTTAGAATGAAGTTGCAATGGCTGCGGTCATTACTGAGCCCTCACTACGGCCCAGGTGCTGTGCAACACGCTTTATACTCATCATCTTCTTTAATCCTCCCAACAACCTCCAGAGATCATACTGTCATTCCTCTCAGAAATCCGTGCTCAGAGAGACCTGCCCAGGATCATACGACTTGCAAGTGGCAGAGCAAGCGGCAGAGCGGGGATTCAAAACTCAGAGTCTGGCTGCTGAGCCACATTTCTCAGCCACTCTGCCTCCCAGACCCTGACTCTGGAGGGAGGGGCACCGACAGAGGCTCCGGTGCTCCTGGACGATGGTCTGCAGAACCCTGTTTCCTCGCCTCATGATCAGTGCCCAGCAGCGCCCTCTCTCTCTCCTGCATCTTCAGCTGCCTGGAACAACTCATGCTTTCTCTCCCTTCTTCCTCTCAGGAGAAGAGCTGACAAACTCATTCATACTAAGGCAGAAATGACTGCTAGGACACAAAAGACTAGTGCAGTGGAAAGAATGTGTGCTGGGAGTCGGGAGACCTGAGTTCGAGCTGTGTTCAGGCAGGGACACGCCCTTCCTCCCACCCCATCGGCTCGGCAGGCAGCTGCCTGTTTTGCCCACCATCAGGCCTGTCTGGACGAAGGATCCGAAGGAGGGAGGTGGGGCAGGCAGGGGAAGGGAGGCCAGAGCAGAAGGTCAGGGCAGGGAGAGAATTCAAGGAAATGTTCCTTCACGTGGCTGCCGTCAATGGGAGTATCCAGGCCGGGGAAGGGTGGAGCGGGACAGGGAGCCAGAGGTAGGAATAGAGACTGGCTGGAAGCAGCCCGCTCTGGCCACTTGGGAGTCTTGGCAATGGGACAGGTAAACAGGCTGGGTAAACTGCCCCCCTAGTGGGGTCAGGAAGAAACCAATGGCTGGCCGCCGCACAACCTCTGGCTC